TGGATCTATATATATATATATATATATATATATATGTATATATATATGCAATGCAGAGCACGTTATAGATAAGAAAGAAAAACTTTAATTTATTTCTTTTTTTATATTTTTCTTTGATTGGTGTTTTATAGCCGATCCCGGTACAGCTCCTTTACTATACGTTTAATATATTTTTTTCTAATTAAATAAGTTTAAAACAATTATTTAAAATAATAATTTTAATTTATTTTTATTTATTTTATTTTATTTTATTTTATTTTATTTTATTTTATTTTATTTTTACCTAAAACGTTGTTCTCAATAAACTCCATGATAGACGTAGCCAATGCACGTGCAAACAATTTAAGCAGAAACCTTTCATCTTCTCCTTCTTGAATATCCATTACAGCATTTCTCACTAATTCTGATAAATAGTGGACGACACAGCGTTTACAAACTGAAAAAAAACAAAAAAAAACAAAAAAAAAACAAAAAAAACAGAAAAAAACAAAAAAAAACGAAGAAAATTCATGTTTGTGGTGCGAAACAAGAGTTGAAACGCTATATGCAAATAAACGGTTCTCTGAATGCGTCTAGCTGTTATTTATATATTTATTTATTTATTTATTATATTAATTAAATTTATTTATTTATTTATTTATTTATTTATTTATTTATTTGTGTTTTTATAGATGTGTTCATGCTGTACATGCTCTCGTTTCCTCTAGCTCTAGGAATGTTTGTTGCAGCATCGACGGAATCCTCGAATTAAAGCCGGTAGCGACGCCGAAATGTTTAACGAGAGTTGACTCCATCATAGCTTTGAAAATAGATTGTTGTTCTGCGAAAAAAACAAAAAAAAAGAGAAAAAAACAAAAAAAAAACAAAAAAATACAGCTCGCTAATGCAGCTTTCTCGCTGCACACAAACACCATAAAAGTGTTCCCGAATTAAAACTTCAGATTATAAAAACTATAAAAAAACCACAATTATAATTTATTTATTTCATAAAAGTTTAAAAAAAAAAATATATTTGTATACATATACATATTCTCTGCTTACCCATAGCCATTGCTGCTGCTTGCAGCAGGCGCAAAGACCTAAAGGAATTTGTTTCAGTGATGATTCCAGAAGAAATAAGTTGTCTATGTGCTTCAACAATTATATAATATTTATCTCCTAATTCTTCTATTGCATGTTTTATAGCGAAGCCCAGTTGTTCTTCATTTACACCTGATGCTAGTATCTGTTCTATCGCTATGTCAATCGCTTCATATGCTGCAGAAAAAAAAATAAAAAACAAAAAAAAAACAGAAAGAAAAACATTAATTTAATGGAAATATTTATTGAAATATTTATATTTAAAACAGAAATACAAATACAGGAATTGGACTGTATCGGCACCTCTCTGCATTCCTCTAGAAACCACAGAAAGCTAAATGCATGCAAAAAAAAAAAAAATAATATTTTAAAAAACAAAACTATAAAATTTGTAATAAACAAAATGCAAGCTAAACAGCATTCCTTGTACACTGCAGCATTCTCTGTTCTGTCACAGTTTATATGAAATAAGATAAAATAAATTGAATAAAAAAGTATTCTTATTGTGAATATATATTTTAATTTAATATATTATATTATGATTACCTTCAGTAACATATGCAGCACACTGATCCCCAGAAACTTCAAATATTTCTTCTCTAATAAAACGTCGTACATTTGGGTCTGCTTGAGCTTTAAGAAAGCTAGCAGCAACAACTTTGCCACATTGCCCTTCACCAAACTGCACAAATGCAACTTCTCTCTCAGGAAGAAGAGAAATAAGAGGGCGGATAGGGGGGCAGGGGGCCTCTGTTTCTGTTTCTATGGGGCCCAGCTGTGCGTTGAAAGCAGCAAAACGTTGCTCTGCTGGAGCCAAAGAAACCGTAAACAATCGCTGTAAAGATTCATATAAATGATATAAACTCAAAGAACTACCAAATGGTAATAAATTTATATGCAATGCAGACGGATCCACCACGCTCCCACCGCCTGCCGGTACCTCTACTGTACACATACACAAACACAAAAAAAAAAAAACAAAATTATTTGCTTTTTTTT